AGAAGAGGGAGGGAGATAGAGCTTTCCAGGCCATACCCCCAGTGACCCACCTTTCCCCATCAGGCTTTATCTCCCAGCATTACATTTAGGTAGAAATTCCGCAATGTCACTCCCTCCATGATCCATTCACTTTCCTCAAGCCCCTACCTATGAGCACCTCAGCTTTGGGGTGGAGAGACATGTAGATATAAACCATAGTATTACGATATTTAGAAAATAAAATTACAGAAAAAGTCTTTAAGTATTTAGTACAGATAGTGTATTTTTAAAATTTTAATCTGTGGTTGGTTAAATTTAAGTATATGAGACCCATGCCTACAGATGCAGAGAATAAGAAATGAGGTATTCAAAAATAATTTTTATTCCTGGAAGAATGTAGTTTTACTCATGAAAATATTAACATAAAATATTTTTAACATCTGAAGCAATGTAGAACATTTAGAAACATTTAGATATATATTTAACTAAATGAATGGCACATTTTTCTGTCTTTTGCTAGTGTACTCTACCTTTGAATATAGAGTTTTATTTTATTTTTTGAGACAGAGTTTCACTATGTAGTTTGGGCTGGTCCTAAACTCACTACATAGCCTAGTCTGGCCTTGAACTTGCAGCAGTCCTCCTGCTACAGCCTCCTGAGTCCTGGGATTACAGACATGTACCGCCGTGCTCAACTTCAAACTTCTTGATAAAGTAAATCAGGAAGGATTTTCAATTTAGTGCTTTTTCCAAGTCATCCTAATTTATACATGATTAGAAAAAATAATAATGATCGAAATGTTAATCAGTATCAGAACTTAAAATGTTGAAAAAGGATGACAAAAGCATACAAAGTAAAAATCTCAACATTCTTTATTAGCCTGTATAAGAATCATAAGGTTTTTTTGCTTTTGTTTTTGTTTTTTAAAGGTGATAGTTACTCTGGAAATGAAAGTTGGGTAAATTTTCACTAAGTATCCCAGTGCCTTTGCTAGAGGTATCTGGAGACCAGATTCTAAATTGGTCTTCACAGACCTTGCAGTTTTGGTCTGGATTATTTTCTTTAGTGTTAGTCAAATGACTGTTGCCAGAGCGCTGCTGTTCTCTCTACTCTGTGTAAATTGCAATCTAGAGATTTCTTAAAACAAAGTTTGAAGACCTATAATTACTAATGATTATTTAGTGCCAAAATCTCTCCCTGTAGGGATCAAGTCTAGAAATACTTATAAACAATTGTATTTTATTGTGAATTTAACAAAAAGGATCCAAGCCTTTCACACAGCTTGCTTGCTACTAAATGAAACCCGTTGTGATTTAAAATTCTTTTTATCCTTCCCAAATTGAAGATATGTTTTCTTGACATCTTTGAAAGAAGCTAGAGGGTTTTTTTTATTTAGTGTGGTTTTACCCTATAACCTAGTCGAGAAGGGTAGGGTACTAATTCAGACTTCATCTGTTCAGACCCCATCTGTTCAAACCTCTGTCACCCATCAGCTGTCAATGTGGGTTATTTAACTGTTTCCTCTAAGCCTCAATTTTCCTATCTGTGGTAAGTGGTTAAGTAAAGAAAAAAAGAAAGTACGTAAGTAAGCAATTTCCAGTACTTCTGTCACATAAAACTACTTCCATTTAAATTCACTTCATTTAAACTTTTGGAATTTGTTGCCTCCAGTTTCAGTACTTCATACTTTTTGCTCTGTGTTAGCTTAATTCTAGGTTACTTTTTAACTCTGCTAATTTTGCCTAACATTTCTTTTGTCAAATTAAAATCAGATATTAAAGTCTGAATACCATAGTAGACCATTTACTCCAAGCCATTAGCAGATATACTTTTCAAAACATTTATTAATCTGTCATACACTTATCCCTGTACTGAATGCACCCTTCTTCCCAGTTTGACAATTTAACAAATTATTTATAGGTCAGTTTTAAATTTTTGACAGAATTTCCCAGACATCTTAAATTCTGCAAATATTAAGGAAAAGTCCAAAGAACTTTTTTAAAAGTTTTTTTTTATGTAATTTAATCTATATTTATATTTCACTCCGATTTTCCAAGACACACATACAAAAAGGAGATGAAATTTTTCAGAATTACTTGCCGTACATGTGAAGTACTGAGTATTAATTTGTGCCAGTTGAAGGGGGAGGTGAAGAATAAAATTTTAAGATTTTCAAGTGTTTCTTGGTCACTGTTCTTTAAGGATATTTTTGTCTGTTATTTTTTTTTTACCAGTGTTGTTAGGATATAGTTTACAAATAATAAAATACATATTTGAATGAGTTTTGATCAACATATGCATACTCATGTAACCCTAACTAGTAGATGAACTAGATAGCACTTTCTTTTTCACATTTAAAAACAGTATTTATGAGACTTTTATCTTTTTAGTACAGATAAATCTATATTATTGTTATTTGATGTGGTGCTCTTTTTAGTAAGAGCAGAGTCTCATCCTTAGCAGCTTGTCTCTAGACTTTCTGAAAATCTTACCACTAATTTAAGACTCTTCCAACCATCTTAGAATGTTGTCCTATTTCTTTCTAACCATACTATTACTGTGACCTGCATATAGACAAATATCAACTCAGCCTCTAATCTTTTCCCCAAATCCTCTTTTTACTTCCAGTTTTCACCATCATGACATGAACCATTCTTCGTGTTATTTTCTCATCTATCATATACTTAAATACAATATGCTGGAATATGCTTAAATGCATTGTACTTAAATAATAGTATGCTTTCCTTATAAGCTGTCAGAAGTTCCTCACAATTTCTGGTGCATAGAAAACTGCCCATCTATATTTTCTTCAACAACTACTGATTCTTTTTTTTTTTTTTTTTTTTTTTTTTGGTACCAGGCATTGAACTCATGACCTTGTATTTGTCAGGCAGGCAGTTACACCCCTGAGCTAAATCCCCAGCCTGATTCCTTTTTAAAAATATATTTTCTATACTTTCTGTGATATGATAGGAAGTAGATTATGATACATTGTCATTGATGCTTATATTTTCCCTTATATACTTGTATCAGAAAACAAAATAAGGTAACATTTTGCATGGCTTCTTGACACTGTTGTGAGGAGACCTTTTAGGAAGCCATGGGTGATACACCAAAGACTTTCTAACTTAGTCTCTGTTCAGTGATGTTCTCTTCAAATTTCCATGTACTTGCCTTGCCCTTCATCACTATTCTCAGTTTTGACATGGGAAAATGGAAGAGTTGCAATCTGTTAAGCAGAATTGGAGTTTAGTCATTGTGGATATGACTAATTTTCTTTAGTTAACTATAACCTTTCCCAACATACCTTTTATTTGTTATTGAAATATTTCAATCCATGTTGTAGGATTTTTTAAAAAAGATCTAATGATGGAAGGCAAAAGTAGTCAAAGGCCCAGGAGACACCAACTTGGAAATTAAATCTAGAAATTCTGGTTGATGTTGGCTCTGTGTCACAACCTAAGGTAGTTAATTCAGTGAAGATTTCTAAAATACAGCTCTGCTTCTTTCATGTCACTGAAAAGATATTTTAGAAATTTTCTTGTTTTTATTTTTTAAGTCTGATAATAGTAATTAGTGCAACTGCTTGGGAAATACAAGAGAGATAGCATTGTGATAGCATTGTGCTTTGTAGCTGTGGAGTTACTGTAATTCTAATCCTGAAAAACAGTGAGTAGAAACTATACTTTCTTTGTTCTTCTCCACTAACATCTCTCATTTTGTAGAGTGAAATTTTATAGATTCAGAAGGGACCTTAGCAGTTATCTCACAGTAATTTATAAGTAAAAATTTGAGACCCCTAGAAGTAAACTCACTGGCCTAAGATCTCATACATAGAAAGAGACGTATCTGGCCTAAGATCTCATACATAGAAAGAGACATATCCTTACCCTGATCAGCCTGGCATTTTTCCAATATGTTGAAAAATCAGTTTGTGTAAATTGTATGTTACATTTATTTCTACAAATATACTTCAGAAAGCCAACTATTTTATTCTTTAGATTTTTGTTGGTCTGTGTTGAAATTTAATTGGAGGTTTTTCAGCTGTCTTGGTAATTGTTTTTGTAGAGTAGGGAAATGGTACTTGTCCTAGGTTTGTGGCCACAGCTTCTGTATTAAAAGACTTATTAACAGAGAAAGTTGTATATATATATATATATATATATATATATATATATATATATATATAATGTAAATATTATGTGGCATAGAAACCTTCATAAGGAAATGAAAATAATGAAATAGTCAAACTTGCATGTTTGTATGTCAGGTTGGATATAAGAACATAGAATCATGGAGAAATATGATAAGACAAAGAGTGCATGATACAATGATAACAAATTAGAGGAAACAGCATGGCTGGTCAGATTCTTCTCTCAGACCCTTTCTGTTCATGTCAAGATGTTTATTTCCTCTGGATATAGCAGGGTAGAGTGACGATATCTGAAAATCTTCCTGAGTTTTCCATCTGCTTCTACAAAAAAGGACAGGAGAATATCCAGAAAGATCTTCCTGCTGCTGCTGCTGCTGCTTTTGAGTATGTCAAGGTGGCCCTGTGCCAAATCTTATCATTTCTTCTGCACATTTATTGAGTAGTATTCTGATAGAGAAATAGTAACTTCTTTATTTTATCAATGGTAAATCCAAGTAAGGTCAGAGAGTGAAGGCTGGGGAAGGTTGTCATAAATGACACTATTTATGTCATACACAAGGAGAGAAAAAGAACAAGGCACTAGATCTGTCCATTCAGTAACTTTCTGCTAAATTTTAAAATTATATTTGATGAATTAAATAAAATGAATAGTACTATATTTTACATTAAATTGTAAGTAGTTATTTCCTGAATAAATGTATTTTACTCTCGTGGGTTTGTTTTTCAGGATGGGAGCTACAGGAGGAGAGTAGTGTGTATTTGCTTTTTAGCTTAAACTAAAATTTTTATTTTTTGAATTTAACTTAAACATAAAATTTGTGGGATACAATCTGAATGTATGATTATTAATTCATTTTTATGTAATAGGACAGACATGCTTCTGTTGACACTCAAGATCTTTGTCATGTGTGGCACATGAATCTAGAAGCCCTTCCAGAATGGATAAGCTGCCTAATACAAAAGGTAAATTTCTATCCTCTGGGAAAAATTAGTAATGTTACAGCATTCAGCATATTTTTGTCCTTTTCTTAAGAGCTGCTTTTCTTAGATATATGTTTTCAAGATATATGAACAGTTGTGTCATTCTTGATTGCACTTATGGGCTCCTCACTGTTACTGGAGCATTCCAGGTACTTTTCTGTCTCATATTTTGTACTTAGCATTTCTCCTTCAATTGTTATTCTCATACATATACTCTTGATTTGTTCCCTTTTTTCTGTGTACTTCTAGAGAAACAGTGTGTGGTTAACCTATCAACTACTGAACCCATATTCTTATCCTCATTATTCCTTTCTGATTGTCTTTCTCCCTTCTCTGCTTTATATACCTGTCTATATTTTATAGACTCATGTGACAAATATATAATTACACACATACATTTATTTCACACACATATAGCTTACTTGTTTTATTGATTGCCTGTTTACCCCAGAATATATTCTTCAAAAATCAGAGACTTATATTTCGGTCACCACTATGTCCTCAGCACCTAGAATAGTATTTCTTAAGTGAATGAAATATTTTGTATTACTCTGAAATATACACATACAATGTAAAAAAGATAGATAATTAATAATTCATTCATATTAATCAAATTAAAATGGCATGGTTTAATGGAGTAGTGTAAGAGCAACAACTCACATTTTTTAATAACCTGATATAATTATTTTTCACAATGCAAAATACCTCTCTTAGAAAAGAATAAATAATACTATTTTTGAAAAATATTTTAAAATAAAAATATTTAACCACTAGGAAGCTGTTGTTGTCCACTAGAGTAACATTTGGTAGATATCCCTTGCATCCATTATCACATTGTAATGATTTCCTGGGAGAGTGCCAGTGTGCTGCTTTTAAGTGTCTTGAACTTTACAGAATATATTAGGACATGAAGGATGTTCCACTGTCTGTTGAAAAGATCATTTTAAGCAAGTTCATTATTAATTTTTATCTAAGTATAGAAAATGACCTATCTGATGTATCTATCAATATCTTTTAGTTATACATAAAAAGCCAGAATAAGCTTTATTCTATTCATTCATTGGGTTAAGTTCCCTCCCTTGGCGCTTGGTATGCAAGAAGTGTATCAAAACAGACACTTTTCTGTGAATTTTACTTGCAAATTAAGCTCTGTAGACTGATTTGGTTCCTAAGTCCATAGAGTAATTTTCTTTTCATTAGTTCACAAAGTATCCATATTTAGCTTATTGTTTAAGAGATTCTCTTTTGGAATTCTTAGGGCTATTGTTTGGTTGGGCATAATTTGCAATATGTTATCATTCTAGAATTTGTAGCCACTTATCTCTATTTGCTGTTCAGTCTACTAATCAGAAAACAGAAAGCTAGTCTTTTCTGTGGCATAGAAAACTTCCACATGGTTAGTTTTTTCTTTTTCTTTTTCTTTGTATTCATATTCTCTTTGGTCATTTTACAATGAAAATACTGACTTTCTTTTCCTTTATTTCCCGTAGGCACAGTGGACTTTTGGAAAATTGAATTGCCCTTTCTGTGGGGCACATGTAGGGGACTTTAATTTTGTCAGCACTCCAAAATGTTCCTGTGGCCAGCTTGCAGTTGTATATCTCTCCAAGAGCCGGACCGATTATCAAGCAACACAGGCAGACAGACTAATGAGACAATCGCTGAAATACTTGTCCCACTCTAGAATTCAGTCAGGTTGTAACAAGGAAACTCTGCTGACAGGTGGTGGCTACAAAAATAGAAATCACAGGCTTTTAAACATGGCCCAAAATAATAATGACCTTGGAAGATTAACAGAAGCACTCTGTCTGGAGGTGAGATCAACGTATTTTCAGATGAAGAATGAGAAATTGCTCTTCAAAACATCAGATTCAAAATACCAGCTTTTTGTTCCCCAGCTTGTGTCTGGCAGGTGCACTTCAAGAGCTTTTCATAGAAAATCACATAGTTTGGATCTGAACATCAATGAGAAGCTGACTTTATTACCCACTTTATATGAAATACATAGTAAGACTGCTGCCTATACCAGGCTAAATGAAACACAGCCTATTGACCTTTCAGACTTGCCTTTGCAGTCTAGTAAAAATAGCTGTTCTTTTCAGAATCCATCTAGTTTTGATACTGATTTGCTGCTACAAAGACTTTCAGTGGCTTCCTGTGAGACCCAGACACACAGAGGAAGAGAATTTCAGTGTGGTCTAGAAGCTTCTTCAGTATACTCAGACCACACTAATAGCAGCAACCTGACTTTGCTGATGGACCTACCCTCAGCTGGCAGGAGCATGTTAGAGGCCTCAGACCAAGAAGAGCATCTCTCCCCTCTGAACTTCTTCCGTTCAGCCAGTAAATTTTCATTGGGCAACATTAATCAGAGGCTCAATAAGAGAGAAAGAAGCAAGTTGAAGAATCTGAGGAGGAAACAACGAAGGCATGAAAGATGGCTACAGAACCAGGTAATTTTTTTAAAAGAGATTATCAAAAATTATTTATGAATATTGTGGATAGAGAATAGTGCTCACTTTGAATTTTTGTTACAGTACTTTGGTTTTAATTAAGTATAACCTTGTTGCTGTGTTTCATACATACTTAGAAAAAATCGATTTTGCTCAGTTTTCCCCAACTCTGATATTTTAGAAGAACATTAATCTCATGCTTTTGAAACTGCATTGTCACATTTTACATTTATTATGTAATTGTTTTGCAGTGAGTTTATATCAGATTAAGTTGCAAAACTGTTTCTCTAAATCCAATCAGGCATTCATTCACTTATTATCACTTTTATTTTAAATAGATATTTTCAAAGAACCTTATTTACTTATGTGCTCATATGACCTAGATATGATTAACTGTACTAACTCATGGGAAATATCTGAAAGGTAATTTACCTTTATTGTAATTTTGTAGGCAAATTTAGTTCTCAGTGATTTGAACAACCTGCTTTATGTGCAGTATAAAAATACGTTCCGGGCCTTTTTGTGTGAAAAGACTGAACACTAAATGTTAGGTGCTGTGTAAATCAGTTAAAGCCTATGAATGAGGTCCTATGACAACTTGGAAATGTGAGGACTGGTGTATTTCTGTGTAAACATTTTTTTAGCAAATTGCCTTTATTATTTGATTATTAGTAGTAGATTGTAGTTCTTATTAATGCATTGAATATTGTGTTCCCAGAACTATAAGATAAAAAGCTTCAATTCATATAATAGTTCACTTTTTAAATATAATTAAGTGAACTGATTATGGTTTATGAAGCTATTGTAGACTTAATAAATTAAAATTACTGCAATTAGTTCTTTAGTCAAATTAAACTGTTTTTTTCATCTTTTAGTTCCATAGTAGAATTAAAGATAGTTTTTATTATATTTGACTGATTGCTAATAAGAACATTTCAGTTTGGTTTATTTGCAAGTGATAGTGTAATGAAATATTGACTCATATTTTATAAAACATAAAGTATATTTTAGCATCATGATATAATTAGCAGTGTATCTTATTGAAGTTATGAAATATAAAAATTTTCTTATACCTATATAAATTGGAGATGATTGTATGTTAAGTATGTATTGAAAAGGAATATTTTAAAAACACTGCAGAAAGCTGTACTATATAGAAATTTAAAAGTATGAAAATTTTACCTAATCTATACTGTTAATATATGCAGATAACATCTTTATCACTTGAAAATGTGTGTTATTCTTGGATTAAGTACTTTTGAAAACCTCAGCTATATTACTTCTCAACATAGGAATCTTCTACTGTACATAGTTTAGAGTAAAACAAGAGCAAAGTTAAGGAGTTTTTGGTATAAAGTCATTTTTATTTATTCTCTCACATATAATTTGACCAATCTTCCAAGCAAGTTGATCAGACTTAATGAGCCTTAGACTTGTGATAGGTTAGGTCTTGGTAGATTTGATTTGTTGCACAGAAGCTACAGGGAAATAAATGCTCAGTGTCTAAAAGCAAAAGAGTATATATATATATATATATATTATATATATATATATATATATATATATATTTAAAATATACAAACAAAAATAGCAAAAAATTAAGACATAGCAACTTAAAAATTTCATGAATTGATGATATGAGTTTCATAATATGACATTATGAAAATCAGAAAGACTGCACCGGCCACCTCCCCAACCTTGTTTGTTTGTTTGCTTGTTTGTCTTGAGGCAGAATCTAACTTAAGTTTCTGAGTTGCCCAGACTGGACTCCAACTTTGACTCTTCCTGCCTTAACCTTCCAGAATGCTACCACACCAAATAACAACAACAATAATAATAATTTTTAAAAATCAGTGTTGTTATTTCAAACAAGACAAATTCTAGCAAAAGTTAGTATCTGAGGGAAATTATTGGCATAGTCGTGGTGCTCATTTCATTTTTAATAAAAATCAGTTCTGTAAACATTTATCAAACATGGAACACTGTGTCCTTAGGTAATTACTTCAATACAGAATCTGTCTTTTCTTTTTTTGCTTTTAGGTACTAAGGATTGAAAATAGGCCCTTCACACTATCCTACAACCTCAGCCCTGTTTAATATTTTTTTAAGACAAAATCTCTCTAACTTGCTAAGTTGCTCAGACTAGTCTTAAGCTTTGTGATCCTCCTGCTTCAGATTTTCAGAGCACTAAATGCCTTCCTTTTTAAGTAAGGAAGCTAAGCATAGGAAATATAAAGTAATAGCTACTTTTAATAATTCAAAAATTTTTATGTTCTTAATTGAAACAAAAATTTTACATATTTATGAATATCATGATGTTTTGATATATGTGCACAGATTATGTGCCATTCAAATGAGAGTAAGCATGCATATCTCTTCAATATTTGTATTTTATTTGTAATGAAAACATTCAAATCTTTTCTTCCATCTTTTTTGAAATATACATTGCATTATCATTCTCTATAGTCACCTTTTTGTACAATAGAACCCTGAAACTTATTTCTCCTATGTAACTTTAATCTAGTACCCCATTGATCAGCTTTTTTTCCATTACATCTTTCTACCTGTCCCTTGGCCCCTGGTGACAACTATTGTATTCTCCAAACTCTGAGATCAGCATTTGTAGATTCCACATAGAAGTAAGATCACTTGCTATTTGTCTTTCTATACATGACTTCACTTCAGTGTAATAACCTTCAGTTTCGGCCATTCTTTTCTATGACTGAACAGTATTCTGTTTTATAAAAATATTGTATTTTCTTTATCCATTCACCGATTGATAGGTAATTAGGCTGTTTCTATTTCTTGGGTGTTTTGAATACTGCTAAGATAAACATGGGAGTGCAGATATCTCTTCAACATACTAATTTCATTTCCCTTAGATTAACTAATGGTATTACTGAATCATATTGTTGTTTCTTTGTTTGTTTATTTATTTTTTATAAAACTTCATACTACTGGACTGGGGATTTAGCTCAGCGGCATAAGCGCCTGCCTGGCAAGTGTGAGGTCGTGAGTTCAATCCCCGGTACCACAAAAAAACAAAAACAAAAAACTCCATATTATCTTCCATAATTAGTTCAGCCTATTTTTAATTGAGTTTTAGTTGTGTTTTTTTTGCTATTGATTTTTTTGAGTTCTTTATATATATTGGGGGGCTGGGGATTTAGCTCAGCGGCATAAGCACCTGCCTTGTAAGCAGGCAGTCGTGAGTTCGATCCCTAGTACCGAAAAAAAAGACAAAAAAAAAAAAAAAGTTATATATATTGAATATCAGCCACTATCAGGTATGCATTTTGCAAATATTTTGTTCCACTTTGTAGGTTAACTCTTAATTCTTTTCTTTGCTCTGCAGAAACTTTATAGTTTAATACAGTTTTTGCTGTTTTTCTTATGCTTTTGGAGTCTTATCCAAAGTCTATGAGTCTTCCCATGTTTTAAAATATTTATCTGTGTTTTCTTCTAATAGTTTTAGATCTTCATGTAAGTCTTTAGTCTACCTTGTGTTGATTTTTGTATGTGGTGAAAAACAGAGGTTTAGTTGCATTCTTCTGCATGTGGATGTCCAGTATTGTATTCCCAGCACTGTTTACTTGTACAGACTGCTATTTTCCCAGTAGGTGTTCTTCCTACCTTTTTTAAAAATCAGTTGGGCATAGTTACATGTGTTTACTTCTTGGCACTTTATTCTGTTCTTTTGGTCTATGTATCTGTTTTTATACTATTTCCATGCTGTTTTGATTACTATAGGTTTGTATTTTGAATTCAAGGAGTATTATGCTTCTTGCCTTGTTCTCTTTGGTCAAAATTGCTTTGACTATTGGATTTTTTTAATTTTTTGTTTTCTTGTAGTTCCATATTAAAGATTTTCTACTTCAGTGAAGAATGTCACACTGTTTTCCAATTTGCACTATAAGCAGCAATGTATGAAAATTTCCATTTTCTGTGCATCTTTGAAAGCAAACACCTGGTATTCTCAGTATTTTAAATGTAATTTTTCAAATATTGAATTCACATTCAATTCATATTTATTTTTATCCTTTTGCCAATAGTCCTTTATCTTGTTTGGTAGAGATTTATAGTAATTCATAAAATGGTGCTATAAGCCCTCCAATTCTATGCTATCACACTTTGATTTTTATTTACATTTCCCTAATAATTTTGAACATTTTTCTTGTGCTTGTTTTTCATTTGTATATATTCTTTACTGAGTGGTGTTTTGTTAAATTATTTTGCATACATTTTAATCAGGTTATTTACTTCATATTCAATTTTGATAGTTCTTTATATAATTCAAGTGCAAATTCTACATTAGATATGTAATCTGTAAATATTTCCCCCTGTTTCTAGCATGTATTTTTCTTTTGTTCTTTTTTTGTTCTGAGAAAATGTGTTTTATTTTGATTAAGCCAATTTTAGTGTCGTTATCTATGAATTTTGCCTCATATTAGGTCAGTGGTGGTGAACCTATGGATACCTTTAAAATCTAAACTGTGAAAAACTAAAACAGGATCCTCATGTGCAAATGAAAATGAAACAGTGACTTTATGGAAGACATATCTAAGTAAACCTGAATAAGCAGGTCTTTTGGCTTCTATACTCTCCAGTATATAAATCACACTGTTTTAATAATATAAAGGGTTTTGAGCCTAGTGTGGTAGTGCACGCCTGTAATCCCAGCACTAAGGAGCAATTCATCATCTTCAAATATGTAAAAGCCAATTTGCAAATATATATTTGTCTATTTGTCCTTCAGAAATGCAGGAATGATCCAACTACTACAAATTGTTCCCCATTCTTTTTTCCAGAATATCAATGGTCTATTGAAATGAAAACTTTCAATAATGAAAATATAACAATTTTAATTAGATGATATAGATTTTGATGATTTTATTAAAGTAGGGACATAGACATGAAATGCTCTTTTAGGAAAGAATACAATCAATAGACTGAAAAATCACCTTTATCTTCAATCATGTATTTGAGACACATCAATGTTT